ATAGAACGAAGCATGATTTATTGAATGACGCTATAAAGACTTTAAGTCTGTAGTAATATCGTGTGACGAATGGTGGCATTATACACAATTTATGATACAAACTTCTAAATACATGCTAATAGCTAGACATTATATCCAGTCCATCAGCTAATATACAAAAGCACCCACCAGTATAGAAATTTTTATTAAGGGATAATATGCATAAATTCTAGTATTTATGGCTTGTAAATGTGGATAATCCTCAAGTTAAAAATGCGAATTTAAGTAATTGTATAGACATTTAGCACGTTTATATAATAAAGAACAAATATCCACCCACTCAATCTGAAACTTTTTTAACCGTCTTTTTTCACCACTTTCACCAAGAAATTAAATAGCTTTAATTTGATATAACAAAATAACCTTAAAATTATTTACTTAAAGCAGGGTATGCTGCACATAGCAATACTAAACCTTAAAACGCCTATATCTTGACAATGAATAGGTTGATAGTAACTTTTTTTTCACCACTTTCACCAAGAAATTAAATAGCTCTAATTTGATATAACAAAATAACCTTAAAATTATTTACTTAAAGCAGGGTATGCTGCACATAGCAATACTAAACCTTAAAACGCCTATATCTTGACAATGAATAGGTTGATAGTAACTCTTTCACGCTGTGTCATATGAATATATTATCTACATAGATAAAGCTGGCAAAATAGGAATTTATACTTTACCTTTTGGCGGATACAGTCAATGTTCGAGGATTTCGGTAATGTATTTTGTTGTTCGGATAATAAATACAGGACACAAATTCAAAAATAGTCACTAGAATGTTATTTTTATAGTAAAATTTGCTATGCATATAATGTAATAATGAAATTACTTAAAAGTGTATTAAGCAAAACGAATTCAGATTACCGGATGAAGTGGTCTCGGATTAAGAAATTATGCTTCTATATACATGTATTTTTAAGGCTTAGGGTAACTACAAAAACAATTAAATGTAGAATTTAGATAATGGAATGGGGTGTAAAGTTCCTCTGTCGACGCTTTACTTTTAGACTAAAGCTGCGATAAACTCAACACCGGACATTGGTGATTCGCCCCATACTTTTCCAAAATAGAACCCGGATTATATTCGCTATGTATTCGCAGAAATCCGTTTCATATCGCTAATTTGGTGTTCTTCTAAAATAAGAAAGTGTCAAGAGAAGAAAACAGTCTAATAAATGTAGGTCATAGCCTCGTTTCTTTTCAACTATTTAAGTTTGTTACATCCATACCACACTAAGACCCAAAGTAAGGAGTTTGTGTTCCGCTGACCTGACCAGGCTTCTTATCAAGCCAATGCGAAGATGCTTTGGCATGGATAAAACTGGTTTTATCAAATCACATTAGTAGAATCTGGCATTAAAGGGAACAGAAAATTCATGAAGAAGTAACTATATCTTCCGGTAGTCTAGGCTAACCAAGTTAAAACAGGGAATAAGTATACATCTAATTTATCAATAACTTGGATTGTACTTGGACAAGGCAATAGCAATCAAAATAAAGACACCATGTTTTTACTTTGTGATTGTAATCTTATCATATAAAATCAGTAACACGCAAGTTAAAAATGAAACCTGGTTCACACACAGTGATGACAAGTGTTTTGTTTCGTGAACTTCTCATTTTGCGAAGAATAAAAGACGTTACCAATCGTACTTTATGTAAATGAAATGTAATTTAAATGTCCTACTGTTCTGCACCAACCCTTTTATGAGGAAATGCATGCGCCATTCAGTGTGCTAGGAAGGAATGTGTGCGCCTTCTCGCGGGTTACTCTGCGTGCACGCCAACATCTTCACAGATTCTCGGATTTTCGTCCTGTCCGAACGACTGGACGGTGTTATTTTATCCCGGGTCCACGGTTCTGTACCACTAACAATAACTATCAAAATATATAGCAAATGATAATGCACGTCCCCGATGCTATTCTGCAAAAAATTACAACCGGAACAAAAGAGAACATATTGGACAAATTTAAGACCTGATAATTACTTAAAAGTAAAAAATAACCGGGTTAGTATTCAGAATGATACCGTGACACCTGTTTATACTAACCCGATATTGGGTTATTATATACAATAATAACCTCATACCTGGTTGTTATGTAGAATAAAGAACCTGCATACCTCTACAGAGGGAATAATCTCTTTAGATCAAAGGAAACGGTCGATATACTATTACACTACTTTAAAGTATTCGTTTTCGTATTTTGGGAGAATTCGAATAAAGAACCGATATTATTTCCTTTTAAAGTCAAATATATGCACTATTTGTGTTACTTCTGAATTATATCCGATCTAAATGAACAAGAACGCATGTTTAAATAAGATACAGTACTATCAATCCTAAAAGACAAGCTTCACGAATTTGTGAAAAAACAAGACAAGGTCTTCAAGGAGCAAGGGAATATGTATTCCTATGGCAAAGCAGTATCATGTTTTTCGAAAAGAATAAGTACACCCTGCCTCAATCATGATATACATTGCGTTTATAGCTCTGGCGTTCAACCCATTTATAGTGACGGGTGTTGTGGACGACGTTGGCAGTTTAGTTTTACTATTTCCAGAACCCCTGTAAAACCACTTTTGAGGAATGTCGCGCAACTGTTGTACTTCAGTTTGGAACATTTTATCTTGGTTACTTCATCTGGTAAAAGTTTTGACATATGTCGAAAGTACAAGAATAAAGAATAATATCCGATGTCTTAAAGTCTTACAGGCGTGTTCTTATATTTCTATTCTGCACGTGCCAATAAATCCTGGTCTTGTTTTAACATTTGTCATATGAATAGAAAAATAAACAAACACGTTGCTAGGGTCACAGATCAAGAATTGAAAAAAAAAGATAAAAATAATAATTTATCCCCAGGCTTTAAATCTGATACATGTTTAAAATGACTGACATCTGAGAAATCTTTTAAAAACCAGAATAAACAAACGCATGTCTCTTAGATAACATTTGTTAAAACTTAAAATTCAAATAAATATTCTGCATGTATTCTATATAAAACCTAGGAATAAATTGGGCTTTATCTAAGTAAAATCTTCTTCTGATGATGTATTGCAATGATAACGTAATCCATATGGCAACCACTATTAGCACAAAATAGCTAAATCAACCGCTGAAAATTTAACGTTATGAAGAGAAAACCTAATGCTTCGGTCATTTTGAGATGAAAATACCAGTAAATTTGTGTATGGTCAAACGTACGAAGCTTCGAAGAATCCCCCGCCCCCGGATTGTGTTATTTCTGCCTTTTCCATAGAATATTATAACTGACCACCAGAACAGTATAATCAAAAGGAAACAATAAATCGGCCCCTTTTAGTTGGACATACAAGTGCCGAGGGTCCTTGTATGTGTGCGCCAATATGTACATGGGTGAACGACTACTAGACAATACTTTCCTTGTCAACCTCTTGTCAACAGGTAAAATATTTCGACAGATTTAAAGTAATCTGACCAACTACCGACATTATTAAATATATGACATTTAAATATTTAGAGATTAACTTGGAAACTATTGTTATTTTTAGAAATATAGTTATTTACTATTTTAAGTTCGAAATCCAATTCTACCACACAATTGCATGTGGAGGATTCTTCTATTAATGCTTAACGTCCGTTTACACCGAGGGTGATATCGCAGACAAGTTGTCTTATTTTACTATGCTCAGCGCACACCCAGGGGTCTTACGTGTAGAAGAACCCGGAGTAAACCCACGAGGTTGAGAAGGCCCACGTATCTCCAAGCCACATACGCTCATATCCGGGATCGATAACACGACCGCAAGCCAGGGATGACCGGCCAGCTACAGCTCGAAGCGCGACACTCTAACCCATCCCAACCCCACATGCTTGTGGATACCAATTTACCCTTTAGTAAAAAATAATGGTTTCATATTATACATCTTAAATTAATATGACAACATATCTGGACATGTGTATTATATAGGTATCACAAAATCATCTAAAACGTGAAACTTAAAAGCCTCTAAGATGATTTAAATTCCTCAGATTTTAATTAATTAAAAATTTCAATAAACGTAAGATTGGGTAGTGCAAAAGAAGACCAAGTTTCGTAAGTACAGCATAAATAAAATAAAGACAATATATTATATGGTTATTGTAAAATTAAAATAAATTTCTTTGAAAAAAACAAAAAAATACATTTTGTTAGTTTATTTTAATTAGATTAACACCCGTTTATAAAAAATTAAGCGTCGGATGTTTTGTTTACTGTAAGTATATAAACATAATCTACGTGGGAAAATATATTAAACAATTTAAGTTGCATTTATTTTTATATTTCATAAACGAAATCTACTATATTATGTTGTTTTAAATTTATGCGAGTTAAGTACATTTATTTATAACAGAGACCTGCGGATATACTACATAGTACATTATTTGTCATTATAAAGTCTAAAGGAATTGAATACAGTTTAAATTATAGTATTTTGAAATGAATTTACCGTGAATCATTATTAATCTCTACAAATGCCTTTATTTTGAAAGGCACTAACTCAAATCGGAATGAGACTGATCACCTATGTTACTAGTTCCTTTACATGTTTACTGTTCAGTGCATATCGCAGGTACTAACAAAATGTATCTAATTTATAAGGTCGTCGCACGTATACCTATCAATATAAGAATTTACACGTGTCCTCATACTTCAAAAACTTCATTTACAAAACTTGTCAGCATATAAGTTTTTCATTTTGAAGCTTTGCTGTATGGTGTGGGGTTGAGGTTAATCACTTAAGTTTCAACAAGAAGTCACATCATTAATTAGAAAGTTGTTAGTTTTATCCCAGTAGGCCTTCCTACACAATATCACAAAAACGTATGTTTAATATTCTATGAGCGAAATTATAAACGTTTATGCATTTGTAAATGTTTATATATATGTTTACATAGAAACAAGTGGATACACACGTAAATTAAAGTTTTCTTACCTTAGAATTCAGTGCAATTTTCTGGAATTGAATAGTTTTCTATAACACAGAGGCAAATTGTGTTTTGTATCGCCTTTTTGAAGAATGGGATAATTGTTCCTGGCAGGCGATTAGATCAGATAACCCTTTAAGAAGCAGAACCCGCGTCTTTTGGTGGTTAAAATTTCCCAAATGGCAGTCGTATAACAAGTAGCAAATGTTTTAAATATAATGAAGTCACGTGATTGATTCCATGATGATAATACGACCAAGAATCGATGTCTCGTTTCCGTATATGGAATAGTGGGGGTAGAAGAATTCAATTAACATATTAAACCACGCCCTTTATGTTATCAAGATTCGGACCTTCTAGCTATGTAGTTAGTATAAAACATCGTGTAAGAAAGATTTGGTGAAGCGAATTGAAGCAAACATGAATCGAACATTGATCTGAATCGTTACTATAACTACATTATTGGGGTTTTACTTGATTAATGGCATCACTCGCAGAAACGAAGCTAATCGTCGTATACATACACAATACTCGATTCAATATCTGCCCCACATCGTTACTCTATAGTAATTGGTACATTAGATTTGGGAAGGTAATGAAGCTATTAATAAGTCTTAAAGGTGTGATTGTGTCCAAACCCACAGGTTTCATGCTCATTAAAAACCATAGTTGTCATAAATAAATTACATAAAATGTCCCAGTGTCATTTAACTTTTCTTCTTTTTATTTTTGCTTTTGCCTAAAAAACGATTATCAATGATAATTAAAATACATCTAATATTTCTGAACGGATTACAACATCGATAAAACTATAATAAACTTGATATTACTTGACGAAAAGTAAGTCAATGTATAACCCTACAAATTAGATATCTCAAACTTTACTAAAAATAAAATCGGCCGCCTGTTTGCAGAGCTCAAGAGTAAAGTATGTAATTCGCCAAACAGTATCCCCCGTCCCACACCGCCCGCTTAATACAACCACTGCGTTCCCAACACATTTGTATCAGTTTCAATTATTATATTTTAGACATTCTATAGTAAAGACAGCCTTACTGCCATGGACCAAGCGTTTAAGATTTAAAAGAACAGTTACTTCATGATGAAACAACAGCTATACATACATGTTGCACTATGATACATGCATAGGGACGTGTCCCAACAGTAAGTGTAACAAAACTGCACTTAAAAAATCTATCTTGGGGGGAAACAAATACAAGCGTAAAAGGCGAATGTGAAATCAAGGAAATAGATTCATAGTGAGAACAGTTGACGACGATATCACTCTTTGTGAAATCGGGCGCAAGGTCTTGGTCAATCAGGACACCGGTGTCCATTGCGGTATACAATACTGGATTTGTGGAGGACTTTATTTTACAATGTACTGATTGTACTGATAGTTTGCTTTTGTTAAACAATATATATGATTCACGTTATTCTATTTAAATATTATCTACCACCTGTAGCACTTTCCACTCAAACTAAAAATAAATTGTTTATTGGATTTATGTTGCTGTAAAATACTCGATCAAAATACCAAGTGTTATATGATCATAGGCGTAGGGGCTCGAAATGCCCGAAAAAATTTCGGGTTTACAGACAGCAGCGACCTTGTATACCCCCCCCCCCCCCCAAAGACAATTTTGGAATATTTGACGGCTGCAAACACGTTTTCCTGCTATTGCAGCCGTTGAACAAAGCAACTTCAAAGTGGTCTAAGATAGCCTAATTAAGGTGGCTGACTCGGAATTCCAATCAATCGTTTACAGTCCTCGAAGACGGGACCGTTAGGAGTAAATTTTGAAAATTTAACTGCCGCAAACGCGTTTTCCAGATATTTCAGCCAGTGAACAAAGCAACTTCAAGCGGTCTAATATAGCCTAATTAAGGTGGCTGACTCGAATTCCAATCAATCGTTTACAGTTCTCGAAGACGGGACCGTTAGGAGAAAATTTTGAAAATTTAACTGTCGCATACGCGTTTTCCTGCTATTTCAGCCGGTGAACAAAGCAACTTCAAAGTGGTCGAATATATATTATAGCCTTATTAAGGTGGCTGACTCGAATTCCAATCAATCGTTTACAGTCAACGAAGACGGGACCGTTGGGAGAAAATTTTGAAAATGTAACTGCCGCAAACGCGTTTTCCTGTTATTCCAGTCTGTGAATACAGCAACTTCAATTTGGTCCAATATAGCCTACCTGGCTGACCCGAATTCCAAACAACCAATCAATCGTCGCGCGGTATATGGAGGCCTCGCCCTCCGGAGAAAAATTTGAAAATTTAATTACCGTAAATGCGTTTTCTGCTATTCTAGCCCGTGTAAAGTGTACATGGGGCCTTTATCCCAGTATATTTAATCGGCCAGAAAAGAACTGTGTGTCACTGGACTCTAACGTCTCGCCACAGAAGTGATGACCCCATCATGCGTTCCAAATGGGATGTGGGAAGAGCAATGCACACAACTAAAGCTAAAACGAACTCTTTGGCACAAGGGTTGTAATGGTACACTGAAATGTTTTGCGTTGTTATTAACGTAGATACCGGATCGATATTATGATAACCATAATTGTGACCGTTTGTGTTTGACATGGATTATAAAATATATTCCGTTGAAATTGTTATAGAATCAGATATGGACTTTCATAAATGATACAAAAGAAATCATTTTATCTGTTTCCTCAAACAACTTGCTGAAAAGAGTCAACTGTTACACACATCTTGTCTAAGTAATTATGTACTCTGCAGGTAGCGCTTACAGTTAAAAAGTTTACTATCTACAAATGATGATAATCATGAAGGGGTTTAACAGAATCCAAACGTCCCTCTATTCATATCAAACTTTGTGTAAATGAAATGTTTTCGCTGTATGTCCGTAAATTAATCGTATGCATCAAAGGCCAACATGCCTTAATGACTGTGTTCGTGAACGTCTTTCACCAACTTTCGCACTGTAGGATGAATGCAGCTCTGATCCTACCTTAGCCAGTTCTTTTCATACCGATTCATTCAATTTGAACGCTTCAGAAATAAAATACTTTCCAATAAAAATCACCTATGATACATTTGATACCAACTTTTTGTGCACCAAATCATAACCCATTCTATGGGTTTTCTGGGGGTTTTTTTTAAAAAGAGACTTACGTGTATATTTAATACACTCATATCTTGCAAACGCTTATAATGTTTTGAACTCTATTGATAGTTCTTGTTTTGGGACTTACGTTTTTGCCTAATTTCGATAAAACGTCATCTTCAGTTGTCATGTAAACACACAGCTGGTCATGACTGACACGAGGTTTCGGAAATATTTCCATTTTAGTGGATTGTCTCCCTTGTGAGTATGTTTTCATTTTGGGTAAACCGTATATCATTATCATTACAGCCCGAGGCTCTACACCGCAGTGGTACGCTTACGGGTCAGCACCAAACAAAGGACGCCACTGGAAACACTACGCATATTTAGTTTAACTGTTGTTACAAAGATGAATCAATGTCTAAACGCGATAATTTCCACAGATCTTGATTGGACCATAAAATATTCATAATACCACGGCCTGATCTGTCTTAAAACACAACAATTCAGATTATACAAATAACACGTTTTCTGTGGGATGTGAATGTAACAAGTTTGTGGCATCCCGTCACGAGAGGTTAATTATTAACAGTCGTATCCTGCTGACTCTACCAGGTTATTTATAAGTGTGCGGTAGGTATAAAGATTGAATTTACTTATTTTTAATTTAAATTGCCCCAGTGAGGGAGATGAGAAGACATGGGTGCTATTTACGGTTTAATGCGTCATTTAGTGCAGTAGGAACCCGTTGCATATACAAAGTTTAATCTGTAATTGGAATATCAGTCCAAAGATGGTTCAATTCCGTTTAGTATTTTCAAAGTTATGATCAATTGAAATTTAATCGATATATGTTGCTCGAGCGTAGCAGAGTCCCACCATCTTTTATTGGTAGCGGATTAACCTAGTGGGCCTAGTTTAAATCCGATTAAATCCAAGCCCGGAGATTATCTAGCTTTCGTATATTGATTTCTTAATTAAACATAAATAATCAATCTGAGTACATATTTAGCGTGTACTAAGGCGTGAGAAATTTGATATATTTAGATGGGAGGGAGGGGGGGTCTAGAGTGTCGCGGTTCGACCACTAGTTGGCCCGTCACCTCTGGTTTGCGGTTGTGGTTTTGATCCCTGTTGTGAGCGCGTATGGCTTGGAGATAGGGGCGCTTTCTGAATCTCGTGGATTTAGTCAGGGTACTCTGGTTTCCTCCCACAGGAAAGACCCCTGCGCGTGAAAAATAAGACAACTTGTCTACGATATCACCCCCGGAGGAAGCAGACGTTAAACACTAAAACAACGATATATTTAGCGAAAACGCAAATGACCCACCGTTAGATATCAGGTTATAATAGTGTCATCACGATTCTTATTTTAAATAGTTGTAGCATCGTGGTGGTATACACATTTCACTTGTTATATACTGAAGAAGTATGTCAAGGTAGTAGTGTCATGATAGAGTATTTCCGAATTCTAGTTGCACAGCGTTCTTACATAATATATATGTATCATGTGCAGTGGAAGCAGTGGTTACGCTCGCCAGAACCATTACAGACCCATTATGGTAAAGATGAAAATACGTGTTTCACTGGAATGCCACTGAACCGCGAACACTGAAAATTCCAGATATAAAAGATTGAAAAAAGTCGCAGCTCTAGCAAAATTCTCACAATCCTGCACATGTTAATATAAAAAAAAACTAATGGCTTAGAGTAACCCAAAAAATAGTTTCCTTACATGGACAGAATCCTGATTTGGATTTATTTCAAACAAATTTAATCATGAAACATCACAGATTCAGCGCTTCCAAAATTATTGACACCATTCTAGTAGCCTGGAGCCACTTCTCTAGATTATAGTGACAAATCACTTAATATTGACAAGCATGCAGTTATCTAAATGTTCATTTCTTGTTCCAGGGATAAATCGTTACCATGTACGTTACAATAACTCTAGCTAATTTGAGTAATTATTTTTTAACAACAGGTAATATTGTTCTCTGGATAATATTCAGAACTTATACCTGTTACCACCACAAACGTTTTCACTCGTTTTGTTATAGTATACAGATACAACGTTCAGATGTTTAGTCTTACATGTCTTATCACATCTCCCCGAAAAGCCTTTTTCCTGCACATTTCATGTACATTATAATTATTTAAATATTTAGTGGTTTTCAAGATCTTATTCAAATTTTAACAATGGGAACTTCTCAAATAACATGACATCAAGTGTTATAAAAAGAGTGGGCATACCATGTCTAGTACACGACAACATACGCCAGGCTACTGATGCATGTAAATAGGATACTTTCCATACACGACACCGTCACAACCTATAATTTGAGCAACTTAAAAGGCAGATTTTACACGATAACCTCGGGCCAGTCGCAAAGAATGTGTACATCTTGTATGTATACAGAATGATAACTCTAAAATACACATACGCGCTCGCGCTTTGCAG